GAATTTCCCACGAAAAGGGCTGAAACAGAGTTTGACAATCCAGCAGATTTAGACAGTTTTGATATGTAAAGGATGTATTAACATTAAGCATCCACGGTGTTCAGTATCGCGCCTGTTATCCTGTTTTACATACGATAGTGTAAATATATATTTTCACGGGAGCTAGCCTGGCTGAACACAAAGCGCATTGATAAACATTACTGTGAGCTTCGCGCAGAACATCAAACATCCCCGATCTATTCAAGCTGAACACAGGCAAGAGACAAGCAAACAAACAAACCACTGACACTAACAACAACAACAACAACAACTGTAAGTTCAACCATATTCGCTCACTTACCTTCCTTCCGTCTGTACACAAAAGCTCAACTGCACAGGCAGCACTGTAAACACTTCGGGAAATATCAATGAGACAGAACGCACAGCAGGAAGCAGCAATTCTTACTGTTAATCTGCATCAAAAGCTCGTCTTTAGTTTTCATAACCGTGCCGTAAGCAGTTGCTGAGGGGCAGGACGAGGCGGTGCTTGCTGGCTACATCAAGAGGAGGTGGAGCAAAACCTGTCATCACATCAGCGACGGAGAGATGTGAAGGCGGGGCCTACAGTCTATGGGCGGGACCGCCTCAGCCTCTTGAAGATGGTTGGTCTACTGACAGCTCATTGTTTACAGGATTTTTTAGCCAGATTGTTCACAGTAACACTTTGCAGTAAGGTATTACAGTATTTGTTAACATTAGTTAATGCAACAGCTAAAATGAACTAACAAAACTGTTCCAGCATTTTGATCAATGTAGCCTATTGAACACATAAGGAGTTTTCAAACTGGTCCGGGGAAAAGTTTAGAGAAAAAACGTGTAAAAAAATAAAAATATAATAAAAAATATAATAATAATAATAATAATACATTTGAAAATAAATCAAAATATAATCAAAATAAATTAACACAATTATTTTAATTAAATAATACATCTAACAGCACAACATTATTAGAAATAAACATAATAAACATAATAGAAACTAAATATTTTCATTACAGAATCTTTTGTTATTAGTTTAAGTATTTGCTATTGACTGTTCAAATGCGGAGTTTTGAGCATCGTGAGTGTGTGTGCGCGAGCGAGAGAGCGAGCGAGAGAGCGAGCGAGAGAGAGAGGGGGGGTCACATCACAGTGGAGTCAGCTGTCTTAACCGTGCTTTGTCTGTCACGTGACTCTGTTCCCCTTTCGGGCTTGAACTGATGGTAAAACTAATGACATTATTTACTGTCTTTACATTTATTTTGAAAGATGAAGCTTGTGATTATGGTAAGGGGTGTTACATTTCTGACGAGTGCTTGCGGTGTTTAGCCAATCACAATGCACTGGGTCAGCTGGCCAATCAGAGCAGACTGCGCTTGTCGGAAGGAGGGACACCAAATACACAAAATAATGATCTTTAAAAAAGCATCATATGACCCCTTTAATATTTCCATGACATTTAAAAGATTGAAAACCCCTGCTGTATGACATTAAACATTGTATGTTGAACTGCTAAGACCTAATGAATTATTTACAAATAAATTGTGTAAAAATGATTGTTCATTATTTCATGACTAATTTTAGAACTATATAAATTTAGGTAACACTTGTTAACACATTTTTGTCTCATTTGTTAACACTGGTTTATGAATTAGCTAAAATGAACTGATAATGATCAATATATACAATATTTGTTCATCTTTGTTAAAGTTAGTTACAGTTTTTGCTTACATTCTCAAAACTTTGCCTCTTTTTTTTCAAAACTTTACACACAAATCCAAGAATTGCACACACAAAATGCAAAATGCCTCACATCTCTTGCAAAATGAAGCACTGCATTCAAAACACATCTCAAAAGCAAACATTTGCAAACACCTTAATAATATCAATTCCTTTTAGTTTTGTGTTACATAGAGAATTGTGTGTTGTGATTTGCAATGTTTTATGAAATTGAAAACTGAGTCAAAGGCTGAGAATTAGCATGGTTTTGCAGATTTGGTGAGTGCTTCTGCTGTTTGAGTGTCAGGTTTCAGAAATTGTGTGACAAGTAACGATTTTGTGTGTAATAAAAATACAGCTTTTCATAGACCTACAGTTTTCACAAGCAAGTGGTACATTTTCAAAACTCTTAGTACTAATTTAAGACCATCAAAAATGCATAAAACTTTCATTCACAGTAATTGCCTTTCATAATGCTATTACTATCAAACTTTCCATTCGCATCTCTTCTCTTTGTTTTATTTAACCTATCACATCATTTAACCCATCTGATCTTAATTGTTAGTCAATGAATCATTGGTATAGCTATAGATTTCTAGATTCTATATAGATAGATTCTATGGAACTTGTTTGGAGTTTCTGAAACGGATAACCAAATATAAGGAATTCTTGTTAAAAGCTTAATTAAGCAATTTTTCTGAGAGGTAAACCACAATGTTCAAAGCATGTGTGTGTGTGTGTGTGTGATAGAAAGAGAGTTAGAGAGAGAAAGAGAGAGCGAGAGCGAGAGAGAGAGAGAGAGAGAGAGAGAGAGAGAGAGAGAGAGAGAGAGAGAGAATGCATTTGCAGTTTTTGAACATTGAACCAGACAGAGTAGAGGAGAAGAAACAATCAATGACTGTGAATCTAGATTGATCAGAGATGCCTGGGACTGTCAAATTACCGTAACTCACCCTTCATCTGAGAAGTCAGTACATTCAGTCATATTGCACACTGAGAACATCTACTGTATTGGTTGCAAACTCTGTTCTAGTGTTCCATGTCATACTGTACCTTCATTACATCTTTTGATAACACAATAGATACTATTATACAGACATTATAGATTTTATGTCAGTTACGTAAGTTAGGTAATGTGAGTGTATTTTGTAACATAACTGTGATCTGTATTACTGAAACATCTTTAATTCACTAACACGGGTGATTTGAAACGTATTACACATTGTTTTCTAGTGAATTGACTGATTATTAAAAGTAGTAAATTGAAAGAAGATTATAGGCATACTATTGTGTTTCGGCGACTAAACCAAATGTTCTAATAACATATTGCAATAATCCTGTGTTTTGAAACTATGGTTGTGTGGACTGCAATTCTGTATAACTTGAGTTTTGAAAGATTGACTAGCAGTGTTACAAGTGTGATCAGTTTAGATATTTGCACCAATAGTTTTGAAAATGTGCATATTTTATGTGAAAATATCACCAAAGTGGAAAAAAGTAAATGCTGCAGTAAAAATGAATATTAATTAAACTAACAAATGCAGTTGAAGCATTGTTGATCGTTAGTTCGTGTTAACTAAAATAGCTAACTAATGCTGACTAATGAAATAATATATCTAACATTATGGTTGTTTGAGTTATCAATTTAGTGTTTCATAGTGGTTTTTGAATATGATTTCAAAATGTAAAGCAATCCAAATGCTATCCGTTTATACAGTACCACCAAAATGTTCCAAGATGTCGGTCTTGTTGTCTTTTCTGCCTGCTGCCACAATGTCTGCTCCTCACAGCAGAATACCAGTTCACCATCTGCCCTGTGCATTATATGTTCACCACATATTTAGATATTTATATTATCCTCACACAACACCTGGCAGGTGTGTATTATAAATGCTCTTGAGTATTATATGTCATTAAACTGTATATTGTGCTGTCTCCATTTAGTAAGTTGTTACACAAAAATGTCTCTTCAGGGATCAATAAAGTAAGTCATATACATCTAATTCATATACTATATATCTCTTTTTTAAAAACGAGAGAAAAAAGGTTTAGGCATAATGTTTATCGGATTTGATGAATGATGTGAATTGATTGATTGAATCAAATTAAATCATATATTTATTATTTTAGTAAAACCAGTTCATTTGGATGTTTTAGAGTGTATTAAATAAACTAAAAATGTATCTCATGGTACAAAGCTGTCGTATATTATAGGTACAAAAACGAATCTTTGTACCACTATTTACCCCTAAGGGGTACATATTAAAAATACATATTCATACTTATTCATATTTGTAAGTATTCATATACCTTTTGAAAAGGTACTCCCACAGTGACAGTTCTGAACTTTTGTTCTCATATTGTTTCTCATTTATCTCATTTATTAGTTTATTAGTTCACGTGGTGCATTTAAACAAAAAAGCCTGTCAACCAAAGTTTCCTGTCTCAAAAAACAAACAATAAAATACAATAAAAATCAATAAGAAAGAAAGAAAGAAAGGAAAAGGTATCTCAATCGTCAGTTACAGTTGAATCTGAAGGCCACACAGGACATGGAAATTGGGCTAAACCTTGCTTTGTTTGTTTGCCTGCAATCTGTTAAGATCTCGAAGCGTCCAACAGATGGCAGCACTGTACTGTCTCCTTGTCATAGATATATATTTAGTGTGTACTGTGTAGCCCTATCTTACAGGGCGTTAACAGTCGTGTCAAATTTAACACATTATTATGGCTGTATTACATTCACGGATTATAGAAAAATAAATCTAGGATAGGCTGTTTGTGATTTTTGTTTGATATGTGAGAATCTAGCCTAAGGCAAGTTAGTGTAGACGCTAAGTTCCTTTTGCATTACTATTTTTATAACTCAAAACGGACAAAAGTAAGCTATTATTACTATAATCTACACTGTACACGTGTTAATAATTTGGTAGTAAATAGGCTAAGTAAAAAAAAGAATAATTCCACAGTAATATAAAGTATGAATTAGGCTACCTACAGATTTACAGAGAAATATTTATATTAACCTATTGGCCATTCCAAAAAAAATAAAAAAAATAATAATAATCATTAGCTACATTACTTTATACATTTACAGAAAAAGGAGCATTCCCCGAATTCCCTGCACCACCCATCGCAGTTGAACTCAATGAACTCGTCATTACAATTATTTGGCATTTCACGCAATCAGATTTTATGAACAGATCTTAATAGCACATTTTACATAACTTAACTGTATAGCATAACTTAATTACTACATGTGCAGAATTTTGAAATATAACTGCCATACGTAATGCTTGTAACACCATCACTTTATTTTAACACCATCACAGCCACCTGTTTTACGTAATTTTTTCTTTTTATTCTGAATAATAGGATGACAATAATAATTATTATAATTATAATACAAGTATGTAATAATAAATAATACAATAATAATAATAATGTAATAATAATACAAGCAGTAGGTATTTTTCACAGATGTGACGTGATCGTGTATGAGTGAGTAAATAAACGATATGATATTTTGCTGACATCAGCACTGCGCCAAAAAGGACAGTTCCATCCGCTCGCTGCTGCCCACCTGAGTCTCCAGTGAAATACAGAACACAACACCTTCCACAGGCAAAAAGCACTCTTTGCGCCTTTAAAAGTTAAAATAACCTATAGATCAGCTTACTAGTCGTATTTTTTCAGGGTATGTCCATCTGAAACATCTGCAGTAAGGAAGGTTGAATGCGAGGAGCAGCACGGGTAAATTATTGATTGGGACAGTCCTG